GGTTTGGTGCCTTTGGTGTTGGCATAGTTCTGGGGCCACCTTGTTCAAGACAAACACAGATTTGCCTGAAGAATTTTAAAAGCTTTTCCTTTAACTTCCTGAGGCGTATGTTGAAAATCAGGATTAAAAATGATGATTTTCTCTCCCCACACTGCTGACTGCCCGAGGTGAGATGAGTTGGCAGGCCCCTTCAGGGGTCTCTGTGAGAAAGCCCCAGTTTAGGGACCATGTCTCTGTTGTCCTTCTCTTTGATCTCTTTGTCTTGATGAATGTCATCTAACATGAGTATGTTGAACGACCTAGATGATGATTATTTTTCAATTTGGCTAATTTCAGGCAGTGTAAAGTGAATTCTGTAATTGGCTTTGTTAATCCAGTTGGTTAGTTACTGTACAGTTTAGTGTCCCCAGTCAGTTTTTGCATGGGTAAGTAATAAAAGGAAGTTCATGTGTAAAGAGGTTTTAATGCAGTAATAACGCGAAAGATTGCATTTTACATGAATATTTTTTACAGTCAGGGTAATGGTATCTTTAAAAAAAGAAAGTGATTGAAATTGACTTTTTTTCTGTTCTAGGATGGAACTCATACATGCTAGGCAGGGCCCGCACCGCACCGCTGAGCTGCACCCCCACCCTGTTATATCACCTCGAGACAGGGTCATGCTGAGTAGCTCAGGCCACCCTTGAATTTGCCATCCCCCTCCTCTGTTTCCCGAGTTGCTGGGATTAGTTGTGTGTATCACAACTAATTGTGTGTATGTTTGAAGTCGATTTTTAAAAAAAATGTGTCCATCTTCAGCGTGCTGTCCCTCTGCCCCCTGCCCTCTTTGCTCAGGTTGATTTAGACTTTTTACAGGATCAGGTGCCTGGCCCAAGTCTCAACACTTCCTGGTTTTTGCTTAACATCAAAACTAACACTGAAGGTTTTTATTATGCGGCTGCTTTAACAGAATCCTTTCCAAGCATCTCCTTTTCTTAGGTTGAAATTTCATAAGCACTTGTTTTTTTTGCCTTTTCCTAGGCAAAGGTTTTAAACATTTTTTTTAAACATCGAGTAAGGTTCCAGATTTTTACTACATGGTAAGGAAAGGTCTGAGGCTGTAGCTCCATGGGGAAGTGCTTGCCTAGCATGAGTGAGGCCCTGGGTTTGGTCTCCAGCACCACGTAAAAAATAAATAAAGATACTGTGTGTCTATCTACGACTAAATACATATTAAAAAAAAAAAAAAGAAAAATAGAAAGTCACACCCGATTCTGCTGCGGTGTTCCCAGAAGGACCAGAGAGGAGCAACAAGTGCTCATCAGGACAGATCCCGGGGGGAGATGTGTCCGCCACAGGTCAGGCCTGCAGACCTGCCCCCGTCCCGGGCTTCCGAGGTCCGCCACCCTCTTCCCAGGCTGCTCTCTGAGGAGGCGCCTGCTCCAGGCTGCTGTGCCGCCCTATTTTGGGGGTGACTGTTCGCTCGGTGGCACTCACCGTTCAGGGCGGGCTGCGGCCCTTGCTGAGCTGTCCCTCGCGCTCTTGCAGATGGTGGTGGAAACGGAGAAGTGCAGCGTCTCCATGAAGATGGCGTCCCCCGAGGACGTGAATGACGTGCTGGCGCACATTGGCTCCTGCTTGCGGAAGATCTTCCCCGGCCTGTCTCCAGTGTGAGTTCCCGGGAAGGGCCAGGAGGGAGGGAAGTGCTGTCCCCGAGTGGCAGTGCCACCTGCTTCCCTTCTGGACGTCTCCTCTGAGCAGTGGCCACGGGAGCTACCTCAGACCCAGGGGTTTCATGCTCGAGGGTTTCTAGGGTGACCTGATCCAAGAGCTGAGTGGTGAAGGGTTTGCTGGTCCTTTAGCGTCCACTCGTGAGACAGAGACAGAACCTCTTAAAAATATGTCCCCATGAGTGCGTGTGGTCGAACACCACGACGGCTCATCTGACATGGTGACACGCACGAGGTGTGACCTGCTCAGTCCTGGGGCTTCCTCTCTCACTCCCTCTTCCCTTTCCATGCCCCTCCGCCCCTCTGCTAGTTTTCCTTCTATTTATTTCTCATTTTTTAATTGGGGTTCACAGGTAGGCGTAAAGGTGGAGCCTCTGTGGCACGTGCCTGTGGGTACGCAGCGTGGTCTGGTGACCTCCCCCACAGCTCCTCCCTGTCTGTCCCTCCTTCCTCCCCCACAGCTCCTCCCTGTCTGTCCCTCCTTCCTCCCTCATCCTCCTCCCTGTCTGTCCCTCCTTCCTCCCTCA